TAGCACCAAACCGGCAATATCTGACGCCGTACATACTACCGGCTATAGCACAAAACCGGCAATATCTGACGCCGTACACAGTACCGGCTATAGCACCAAACAGGCAATATCTGATGCCGTACATACTAAAGACTACAGCACCAAACCGGCAATATCTGACTCCCCACACTCTATCCGCCTTAATGGCAGCACCCTCAACACCAATGGTCACTCACACAACACCAATGGTCACTCACACAATCACGACTCCCCTACTGGCCAGCCGGTTCCTAACTCATCAAATGACCTTCACAAAGGTCAAGACAACATCTTGAAATCAAAACCCACACAGAAATCCCCAGACTCTTCGTTTACTCCCACAACTTCCGACCACCCGGAAACAAAATGTGAAGCCAATGTGGCAAGTCAGAACGGAAGAATTCATAAAGATAGCAATAAACAGCTAGTTGAGAAAGATAAGGGCTACTCCGAGCCGAAAGATTTCACACATTTTCAGGATTCCTATGTTTTATGTTCTAACAATTGTAAAATTGATTCCATCTTACACAAGCGGAATAATCAACATGGGAAGCAGTTGGATAGCAAGAGTTACTCCCACCAAGGGCAACCTTCTATACCGGATATGCCAGGGCGTCTGGAAGAAGCTGGTCATCCAGGCAGCAAGTAGCCAGATTTTTAAAAAAGTAGTTGTGGCAAGCTGGCAATTTGTACTCACAAAACCAGTTGTTAATGAACCAGTGCTTCTTGCATGGCCATTTTGTAAAATATCTCTGCTGAAAATATGTAGGCGCAGCGAAAGATAAATTAAAGCTCTCATTTTTCAGTCCATACAGCGAAAACTGGATTTAGTATTGGAAGAAAAAGTTTCAAGGTTTATCAGCTACTGAAGAAAAATAAGCTCTTGGTTAAAAGGGTTTAGCTCAGCTCATTAAAAAGGTTTAGCTCAGCTCCTTATTAAAAGGATCACATACGTGTTGATCAAAAGTTCGAAATGAATATGTGGTGATCAAAAGTTCGAAATTAACATGTGGTGATTGAAAATATAATGTGGTCACTAACCCATCAGTGGTGATACGAGGTGACCAAGTTGACAATTTGGGAATTATGTTTTATGACCTTCATACAGTGCACATGTATAGACAAACTTCTGTTTGTGACGACACCAAAATGGCGGCGCATGCTTGTTGTGTGATGTTCTATTTTTACTTTGTGTTTTTTGAGGTCGCTGGTCGACCATATTTGTGTTGTTTACAAATCCAACGACCGTTTCTTGACCAACCATTCCTGTCGTGGTTAAGTACATCATGTAGTACAATAAAAGTACCATGTGAAATACTAATAAAAGTACTGTGACAAGACTATATGAAGTACTAATTAAAGTAGTGACAAATCTATATGAAGTACTGTTCGATGGACTATTCGTAGTTCTATTACTGAACGTAGAAGGTGAAATGTGGACAATTCAAAGAAGGTCGTAACATCAATTATTTAATGGCAGTTGTGTATACTATAAGAATTATTTTTCGTCAATGAATACCCTTAATTGGGCTCTTTAAAATTAGCTTTTACATTCATTGCTGATTTGATTTGGAAAAAAAAAAATCTGCTGGAAAGATTTAATCATTCACATCAAGCGGCTTGTAATGTCATTGTTTTATTTTATTCTAATTGTTACCAGCGAATTCTCTTCTGGAGAACGGCTGGGTGGTTGTACATCAGCTGGGTGGTTGTACACCAGCTGGGTGGTTGTACACCAGCTGGGTGGTTGTACACCAGCTGGGTGGTTGTACATCAGCTGGGTGGTTGTACACCAGCTGGGTGGTTGTACATCAGCTGGGTGGTTGTACATCAGCTGGGTGGTTGTACATCAGCTGGGTGGTTGTACACCAGCTGGGTGGTTGTACATCAGCTGGGTGGTTGTACATCAGCTGGGTGGTTGTACATCAGATGGGTGGTTGTACACATAACACAAGTTTTCCTACTAAAACTATGTCTTGTGTGTATGTGGGGGGGGGGGGGCAGCCAAAATTATTATGTCCTTGCCTACCTGTAAACTACTGTTTATTAAGCTTGTGATAAAAATGACCTTAATAATTGATTAAATTGTCGATTTTTAAAAATATTTTAATGTAACATGTTTATGTATAAGCTCTTGCCATGCAGGGAGGGTGGGGGGGGGGGGGGGGGGAATATTAACAATTTTACTCTGTGTAGTGTAAGAAGTTAACATTCGTCTTTGCCGTTTTAACAGTTTTCGAGAACATGATTATTGATTTAAAGTAACGTAATCCAAAATCGTTGCAATGAATAGCTCCGTATAACATAAAAAGAACAGAACATAATCTTCAGTATCGGGACATTTGTCATTGGCAAAGCGAGCATAGCCTACCCGGGTTATTGTTAATTCTGAACATGCGCAGTGTCAAACTTCCTGTCCAGTTATATTTTTAGAACAATGCATCAAAATACACGGAAGATAACTAATCCAGCCAGAAAGGGATGGGAGGTGGGGGGGGGGGGGGGGGGGTGACAGGGCGTGAAGCGGAGATGGAGAGGGTTAGGGGAATTACGTCAACATTAGGCGGGATAATCCAGACGTATAATGACCTATGACGTAAGTGCCACTGGGAATTACGTCAGCCTAGTTACCGCAGATTCAAAGAGCTGCCATTAGACGGACTTGTACAGAGCAGAACTGATTTATCTCTTTTTTATAACTTCCCTTGTTAACCCTTTGGGGGGGGGGGGGGTGTGGATTGTCGAATAGACAAGTGAAACACATTACACACAGAGACAGCAGAAAACATCGGTACACATTTACGGCTAGATTCTATTCGTTTTTTTTAAAAATGTGTCTCTGTGTATTTGGGGATAAAATGACGTCACAGGTTAGACCTATCACCTACGTCAGAGTGATGACGTAACCATTTTAAAAATACCATTGTATCAAATGAAGTCATTGCTCAATGCAGATTTCCAGAACTTATTATTATTTCTTTATAATTTTAAACTGCTAGAAAACAAATACAGAGTTGCGAGTCTTTGGTCCTTTACTCATCATCGTGGCCAAGCGTGTCCTTGGAGAATGATCTCATTTTTTTTTAATCTAAGACACCTCTCATAAGACACACCTGATGTCTGTGGTACCTGTGTGTACCTGGCACTACAAAGTTACCTACAGGCAGGTAACTTGTACAGTACTGGAACCATCAGCAACAGAAACCTGAGAATGACCTTTCACCTTAAGACCAGTGTTTCTTCCAGACTTTTTTCTCCGGGGGGGGGGGGGGGCACTTGAAATTTTCGGGGGGGGGGGGGCGGACACTGTTAAAAGTATATATTTTGTATATAAATTATATAAATTTCATTTCGTTCGGGGGGGGGGGGGGCGCGGTAAAAATTTTTCGGGGGAAAGCCCCCTCGAAGAGATGCCTGGAAGAAACTCTGCTTAAGACTCTACTAAATATGTCGGCGCCTACTTGTAGATACCTTCAATCATGTGATAAATAACGCTTGTTCTTTGATTACTATAAAAACAACTTTTCAATTAACCGTCTATACATTGTTACTTATATAATGATTGAAAACTGTAACAAAGGTTTAAAACTTTGCTGTCTATAAATTGTTACTTTCACGAATGTCATTAAACTACGTTTTTATCTCATAACAATAATATCAATGTTGTTGTCATTTGTAGTGTTTTGTCAGCCGATGTTACGTAACATCCTGAGTGCTGTTAGGTCAGGGTTCATCACCTTACCGTGACCTTGAACTAGGTACGTGTGCGTCACTACCTACTCACCGTGACCCACTACATTAACGTGATAATATTAACTAGATCTACAGACATGACCGAGGCGAACTTGCCGATTAGCCACTAGCGAAGAAAAATCCGAGGATAGGGGAGAGGCTTTAATGATGCGTGTGTACATGTCCTTGAGTATAGTCACATTTTCCTTATTTAAATGTCCTGGAGAGGACAATAGTGAAATGTCCTAGTTAACAGAATTTTCTTTATTTAAATGTCCTATAGAGGACATTGAACTAAATGTCCTTGTGTAGAGTCAGTACAACGTTGGCCAAATTTTCCTTATTTAAATGTCCTGTATAGGTAAATGTCCTTGTGTAGTTCACCAAAATGTCCTTATATTTTTATAAATGTCCTATGAAGGCAAGAGATAAATGTCCTAGTAAACCGAATTTTCCTTATTTATATGTCCTGTAGAGGACAATAACGAAATGCCTTTGTGTTATTAACCAAATTGTCCTTATTTAAATGTCCTGTAGAGAAAAAAAGTCCTCGTGTAGTTCAACAAATTGTCCTTGTTCTGAGTGTTAGTAGGTCAACATTCAGCATCATACTAACAAGATTGTCTCACCAATCTGTCATCAAAACATGAGTAATTAATGTGTAATTGATGAGTAATTAATGACTCCCTGCTTTTGTCCACTATCTGATCACCATTTTTTGGGGCCCGGAACAAAATTGTACCCGTGGTACATTTTTTTCTTTCTATCTGAAACCTCGACTGACGGTATTGAAGGATAAAAAATTTAGCAGGAAAATGTACCAAGGGAGCGAACTCACTGAGTGAGTGATGTCCCCTGACAGATCACATGACACAGCCCGAGCATAATGTTAGTTTAATTAAAGTCCAACATGACGACACATCAAAGGCTGGATGTTGACCCAGTGATCAACACTTCAACGCCGCCTCATTTAACCACACCACATGAATGCTTCAACAAATTCGGGATCCCACGGCACTAATTAAGAAGTTAGTTTTATAGGTTGGTTGTTGCGCAAGTTGGATGCAGAATAGTGCAACGTGTGCACCCTGCACTGTAAGCAACAGGTCATTTAAAGTGTCATCGTTCCCCCCCCCCCCCCCCCTGGATAAATTATCGAGTTAATCTAGACACCAAAAGGTAAAATTATTGGCATGTCTTGTAACAGTAAAACTTTGATCTGGTACAAATATGAGACTCAAAGCCAGAAATCCATGCTGTAATAATTTAATTAAGAAATGCATGTGTAATTAATTCAAGAAAAACAAACAGAGCTGGCCTTTTGATAAAAAATAGTTTGTTGAGGTTGATGGAGTAAAACTATAGTTCCACGGAGTAGAGAGATCACTCAAACACAACTAACTGGCGGTGTCTGGCACTGAAAGACCTTAGCTGGCCAGAGTTTTAGACAGTTGAAGGGCGCACTCTGCCAGTTTGGCTATGTCTGAGATTTGAAATTTGGCTATCAAATCTGGCAAGTCAATGGAATGCGCCAGAGCTTTGCAGCCGTCGTCCCCGGTAACCAGGGTTCCCACGCCGGCCAGAAGTCTGAAGACGGCCTCAGGATCCAGAGTGGCCGTCAGCACCTCCCCCACAGCCTGGAGACATTTGGATTTACTCTCTAGATCATCAACACGGGCCAGTTTAACGCAGTAGTTCAGTATAACAGCGGCCACGGCCAACTGCGCGTTCTTGGTGGTCAAGTCCTTCCCAACAATAGCGGACTGGAGGATACTGTCAATTTCTTTCATAGCCAGGGCCACGCCCTCCGGGTGTCTGAAGAGGTTGGCGAAGGTGCGCATGGCCAACATGCGACAGGCCTGCTGGTTGCCCTGGCTGGCGTGCTGACAGAGCAGGTCCACAAATGACGGCTGGGAACAGAACAGGGAACAGATGGCCTGGTTTTTTATACTGATGCGCAGGATGTCTAATGCAGGGAAAACACAATCTGGGGGATTAAAAGAAATAACATTTTTGTGAAGATTTAAGCACAAGAGTTTTTCAGGAAGAAATTATATATTTCAGGATATTTTAAAATGATCATCAGATATGGCCAAAAAAAAAAAGTATTGAAAAATTACAGAGACTCATAATATAAAACAAAATAATCATACAGTTATCTTCAGTACTACTTAGATAAATAAGCAAATCAACTATTTTTCCTATATAGTCCAAGCTCAACTAATTGTATCGGGGCAGCTATAAAAAAGGAAATCAGTGAAGAAACAAATGACTTCATCTGGATGTAAACACTAGACAAGCCCCACAGTGAATAAAAAATGCTTGAATGCTAGCACATATTAGAACACTTATGTGAGATAATGTTTTACTTGCCCATACTAAAACTGTGTTTCCAAAATACAAATAGAAATTATTTTTGCAGCTTTTTTTTTATGATGATTCTTAAAATTCATAACAATTTTCTAATTTAAAGACATTAAGAGATTTCTGTAGTTTTTAAGCTTTCAACATTTTTTATGAGAACATTTTTTTTCAAAACATTCTGGAATTTTAAGAAGGGGAATGAACTCTGAAATCATTCATTCTATAATCATTATCATGTTAAGTAAAACATTGCTTTGTGGCCTCATTAAGTAAAACATTACCTTGTGGCCATATTAAGTAAACCATTACCTTGTGGCCATGTTATAAGAGTTTCTAAAGTTTTCAGCCCTTCATCATTGGACTGGCCAGACAACAAGGGGACTAAACTCTCAAAAGATTTTTCTGGCACTTGCAGATCTGGGTCTACAGACTTGTTGAATTCTTTTAACTTGCCTGCTCAAATAAAAACGACTTATTTACTCAACTATCAATGTCAAATAAATTATAGAAATTATGTTCCCATTTAAAACAAGTACTTAACTTCACTTATAAGGGAATAAAGTTTCACTGTTAAAAATAATATTACAAGTTGATTATAATATTTTTTTGTTTTTTTTATTTAGTAATCATATATAAAAAAATATTTTACATAAAGTGAAGTTTTTGAGGCAAAATTTGAATAATTAAATCCACACAATATTGTAAATATGAAGATGATTGCTAGTTTATGCCTGGTTGATTAACTACATTACTTTAGAAATTGTGCAACTCTGTAAAATTATATTTTTGTAAAATATTAGTGGCACAAGATTTAAAAAAAAAATTGTTAGAGCTGCCATGTTTTGTTGTATTTACTTCTTGTAGTTTTCTCGTTGGATTGATTTTTTTTTATTTTATAGAAATTTAGTTGTAAAACCACTCACAAAACGGCATTTTTAACACTACTGCGTCTAAACGTTTATGTTTAAGTTTAATTAAAATTAAAGTATTTATGCTAATAACTAATCATTTCAATGATTTTTGTAGAAAAATTGACGTATTTTAGTTTTCTATAAATAAAAACTCATGAAAAATAATTCTTATCAGTAATTTTCCTGACAGAAGGGTATTTTTTGCCCAGAAAAATCAACTCTTTACTTTTCTTCTTTAACTAAGCAACTATCTTTCTTCAATAAATAAGTAATTACTTAAAATTCATATAAGTGTGTAGTGTATTTAATTACAATTAATTTATATCGAGATGTGTGGGTTTTAAATCAAAGGGTAAAAAATATATGAGTTGGTTTTGCAGCAGGAATACTGTAAAGAATTGAGAGAAAAAAAAAAGTCCGGTAAAACATGAAAATAATTCTGGGCTTTAAGAGTTAAATGTATAATCATATATATAGGTGAATGAATGTTTTTACCTAAAATTTGTTCAACAGGGCTTGCGCTATCAAAGTAAATAAAATCTCTGACAGGAAAATGTGAGCTGGTTTGTTTGACACTGTCTTGACCTAGTCAGATATACAGGAATTGTTAGGGCACCACTATATCAACAGACAGCACAAGATTTATTACAGACAACAGAGGTCATAGAGGTCATCTATATCACACACAGAGGGGTAGGGAGGGGTCAGAGTCTTGTGATGATGTGCTACATAGACCATGGCCGAGGCGTAGCGAGGGAGCGGGCAGGGAGGTACATGTCCCCGGGCGCCGACTTTAGGGGGCGCCAAACTGGGTTGTAAAAACAAATTAAAATCTCATTTTAGCTGCAGTTTTGCATTATAAATATACAAAATATATGGTGGGGGTGGGAACAAATTAAAAATTTGGTCCCGGGCGCCGGGATGGTCGCTGCGTCTCTGGTCCATGGGTGTGCTGAATAAATGTAATGGAGCATGTAATTTACTTTTATAAACAACATAAAAGACAAAAATCATATTGATTACGGTTAAGATTATTTTACGGGGAGAGGTGGAATTATGCGACCTCAGGGGACAAGAGTCAGACTTTTTGTGGATATGTGACACTATAGTAGCTGGGGCTAACATCAGTAAAGTCCATATCACGAGACTGACCAACACACACACTCTTATAAATGGCCAGCCAGAAACACCACAAGACTGGACCACTATAAGCACTACCACAAAGGACTCACCATCAGGGACATAGCGACCCGAGCCTGTGAAAGGATCCGACACATCCATCATCATGTCTGTGGTCTCATCTTTGCCAGGGATGTATCTATCTCCACCTGTGGCAGATCAACAAACAAGCCTCAGTAACAAACATACCTCAGTCACAGACACACTTCAGTAACAAACACACCTCAGTAACAAACTTGATTCAGTAACAAACTTACCTCAGTAAATAACATGCCTCACTAACAAACACATACCTCAGTCACAGACACATTTCAGTAACAAACACACCTCAGTAACAAACTTGATTCAGTAACAAACTTACCTCAGTAAATAACATGCCTCACTAACAAACACATACCCCAGTCACAGACACACTTCAGTAACAAACACACCTCAGTAACAAACTTGATTCAGTAACAAACTTACCTCAGTAAATAACATGCCTCACTAACAAACACATACCCCAGTCACAGACACACTTCAGTAACAAACACACCTCAGTAACAAACACACCTCAGTAACAAACACACCTCAGTAACAAACTTACCTCAGTAACAAACACACCTCAGTAACAAACACACCTCAGTAACAAACACACCTCACTAACAAACATATCTCAGTAACAAACACACCTCACTAACAAACATATCTCAGTAACAAACACACCTCAGTAACAAACACACCTCAGTAACAAACTTACCTCAGTAACAAACACACCTCAGTAACAAACACACCTCAGTAACAAACACACCTCACTAACAAACATATCTCAGTAACAAACACACCTCACTAACAAACATATCTCAGTAACAAACACACCTCAGTAACAAACACACCTCAGTAACAAACTTACCTCAGTAACAAACACACCTCAGTAACAAACACACCTCAGTAACAAACACACCTCACTAACAAACATATCTCAGTAACAAACACACTTTACTAGCAGCTGATAACACAACGTACACACATACAACCATTCATGTCTTTTTACACCCAGGAACATTCCACACTCACGAGACTGCATGTAAAAATTGAACCACTCAAAAATTCCTGACACCTTCAAATGACCAACTCAAACTTTCAGCAAACTCACATCAGGCTGTTGGCCCCAGTGAAACAATGACTAGCCCTAAAACTGACCAGTAAAAGGATCTGAGTGAGATAAAGCTGACCCAGTGCCAAGCGTGACCCCCTTGGTGTTGTCTATGATGAAGTGGGCCACTTGGTCAAGGAAGACCTGGGCCAGATCATGCTTGTACAAAAACTTTTGGGCCGCCATCCAGGGGTCTTCTGCTATGTTGTAGGGCAGCTTCAGGGGAGGCGAGCCTTCTTTGATGTCCACGGTGAAAACATAATCATACTCCTAGGTCAAACAAAATACATGATTCATTTAACTTTATTTGGTATAACACCAGTAACTAACCAAGCTAAATCCTATTATTTGTAGGGTGATTTAACACTACAAAAACAAAAGTCTGTTTACATCCTTTGCCACATCCTGATTCTGCAGATATTTTAATGACTGAAGTTTACTAATATGATTTCTGAAAGTTAAACTTTGATCACTAAACAGTGATCCATTTAAACAGGACTCCTGGGGTATTCAAGTTTAATGTAATACCTTTTCAAAATTTAATTGTTTTAATTACTGTAGTAAATCATGTGAGCAATGACAAAGTTTAAAGTACCAGAGAACAGAATAGTTGTATTTTGTCAGGGAAACATCAGAGCAAAGTATAGCTGTAGATAACAAAAAGAGGGGCTGCGTACCTTCCCTTCAAACAACGTTTGTCAGGGAAACATCTGAGAACAGTATAACTATAGATAACATTAAGGATGTGTACCTTCCCTTCAAACAAAATTTAAAGTGTCAGAAAAACATCTGAGCAAAGTATAGCTGTAGATAACAAAAAGAGGGGCTGCGTACCTTCCCTTCAAACAAAGTTTGTCAGGGAAACATCTGAGCAAAGTATAGCTGTAGATAACAAAAAGAGGGGCTGCGTACCTTCCCTTCAAACAAAGTTTGTCAGGGAAACATCTGAGCAAAGTATAGCTGTAGATAACAAAAAGAGGGGCTGCGTACCTTCCCTTCAAACAAAGTTTGTCAGGGAAACATCTGAGCAAAGTATAGCTGTAGATAACAAAAAGAGGGGCTGCGTACCTTCCCTTCAAACAAAGTTTGTCAGGGAAACATCTGAGCAAAGTATAGCTGTAGATAACAAAAAGAGGGGCTGCGTACCTTCCCTTCAAACAAAGTCTTCCCTGAGGTGCTCTGCGTGCTACCACTGGAACCCACAACATTGCCAATCTTGATCCACTTGGACTGGCTGGCGTCCCACTGGTACACGTCCACTGTGCTGCCATTGTTCACCATTGTTGTCTGGCCGTCTTTCTTGCCTGCAGTGGCAAAACAAAGCATCAGTAGTGTGACGGGGTGGAGATGGGGGAATAATAACAAGTTCGGTATATAAGTTCTGAAAATAATCTTAAATGTTAAAACAAACCACAAGTTCTCTTTCAAAATTTTGAACAGCTCTGTGCAAGCTAAAAATAAAGGTGTGAGGACTGAGAGAAAACAAAGGTGTGGGGACTGAGAATAAACAAAGGTGTGGGGACTGACCTGGTTTTTTCAGGCTCTCTGGGCCGGGCAGGTCCTCAACCTTGATGTCACCCAGGGGTTGGCTAGCCACTGGAGCACTGGCCAGGGAAGCTTCATGGGCCGCCAGTATCTCAGCATTGGCCACTCTCTCTGGTGCCTGTGTGAAGATCCTGATGATACCATCACTGACAGAACAAAGGTTTGGATTAGATCAAATAGATCCCAGCTGCACTGAACATTGGCACAGCAAATTATTGTTACACAATATATTTTAACTACTTTCTAATCACTTTATCTTAAATAAATAGTTTTAGATTTTATAATAACTTCTACCATCGAGCAAGATTTTAAAAGTTAAATGTACAATTAAATCATTATTGAATACATGAGTGACCTTTACCTTGACCCAGATGCAATGTCCCCATTAGTTAAAGCACAGACAGTCCACACAGATTCACAGGGGTGATAGAGTGTTTGGACACACTTCCCATCTCTCCATACACGCATTGTTCGATCCTCTCCCCCAGTGATGAAGTCTTGCCCATTGGGTAAAATTGACAAACTGAACAATAATTTTAAAAACACATATAATGGTGACATTTATTTATCTCTTTAAAATTACATTTGTAAACTGAACTCCCAGTGCTTTAAAACTAGGTGTATAAATAAAACAAAACGGCACATGACTAAAATGGTATTGGCAAGAGATGAACTCACCAGTAGACATAGTTAGTGTGACCATAGTAAATAGCTAAACAATCTCCAGATGAAATGGCCCAGCGTCTGATGGTCGCATCATTTGAGCAGGATAAAAACTCTCCCTCACTGATCACAGCTATAGCTCGGACACAATCTTCATGCCCTGAAAATAGAAACATTCACATGCACAGTCTTTTCTAGACATAGGACATTGGTTAAACATTAACTTTTTTAAAAGAAGCAATAAAAAATTCAATAAAACATAGCATTGAAATATGAGGAAGATTTAAAGAGAGAAGAGTAACCTGTGAAAGTCTGGACACACTTCCCTGCCTTCCATGACTTGATGGTCTTGTCAGCTGACCCTGTTAACATGACACCCTGACCTGAGATGATACCAACTGCCCACACTGCCATCTGGTGACCTGAAGCAAACAACTTTCTTGATGACACAACATTGCTTACATATACTTGACACTATACTTCATCCACAGATCATTCAACTAAAACAATAGTTGACACAATACATCATACACAGATCATTTAACTAAAACAATAGTTGACACTATACATCATACACAGATCATTCAACTAAAACAATAATTGACACTACAATTTAAACACAAACATTAAACTAAAAAGCTTCATTACCTTCCAGGACCATGACACATTTCTGATTCAGCCACACCCTTGCTGTTTTGTCCCATGACCCACTCAGAAGGAAACCAAATTTTCCAGAGGCTAAAGCACACACTGTGGATGAGAGCCCGAATATTTACTACATTCCATCTAATGAACCTACTAAAAGTAAACTTTCAGCAGTCCTTTCAAAACACTTAACAGTAGGTTTAAAACCTGTGTTTACTTACCATTTCAAGACACTTTACAGAAGTTTAAACCTGTGTTTATTTACCATTTTAAAACACCTTACAGCAGGTTTAAAACCTGTGTTTACTTACCATTTCAAAACACCTTACAGCAGGTTTAAAACCTGTGTTTACTTACCATTTCCCTCATGGCCAGTGAGTTTAAAAACAGGTTCTGCTTCACCGGGTCTGTAGGCCAGAATACTTTTATCAATGCTGCCAGTCACTATCAGCCCCTGGGGGTAGTTGTCGTCAGGTGGCATGACACAGATACTAGACACAAAGTTGGTGTGACCCTTCATCACAAGACTTTTATCAAATCTTTGCTCAGCTCTGAAACAGACATGTCAGTTCTTTATACAACAGATGCTTTTTATTTGTTAAGAATGTCTTGTTACTTCAGGTGTTTCATTGTTCAAGGAAAATAGAGTTTATGATACGTATTCTGCTTCTACTTCTAGTGGGCTCCATCTTTGACATAAGTCTCTATTTGTTCAGATAACACCTAAAAAAATTTTTTTAAATTATTATATTCTATTGGCTCAAATTAAAAATATATTTATTTAGGCCTATACATTTATTGAATTGTGAGGGAGGGGATTTCCCTTATGTGGATATTTATTTTTAACAATCTTTAGTAATTAGTTAGACAGTTGGTGAAAATACCAGATTTGCTCTTTGTCAAAATGTCACTATAAGTATAATGTTTCATTATATAATGTTTAAAATATAGGCCTAAATATAAGAAATTTAATTAATTTTAAATGCTTGAAAACAATTTCCAAAATAATTAGGCCCTACAATAATTTCAAATTTGGTCTTTGTAGTTGTAGGTAGGCCTATAAAAAAAAAGCAAATGTCATAGGCCTAATCTAGTAATCTAAGATTAAGCTTGGTTTATTCCCTATTTCTAAACTAGATCTAGAACGTCTAGTCTAGAACTCTATTTCAATTTCAAAATTGTATTTTTTAACTTTATTAAAATTTAAAATTTTTAAATTTTCTTGTAGGCTTGAGTTCTTTTTTTTTTTTTTTTTGGCATTTTTAATGTTATTTTAATATTTTTTGGTTAGTCAGGTTAAGACTTGTCTACGCTACTTGAAGTCTATATTAACTAGAACATACTCATTTTCAACCCATAAACAGCTAGTATTATCTCTAGATCCCGATATTAATCCATTTTCTGGAAATATTGAGTTAACAAGAACGCGGACATCCTTTTCATGACCGGTAAGATTACATCTAAGTTTATACGGAGTCGCCATGTTGAATTTACAGGGGAAATAATGAAAGTAAACATCAACACAATAATGTTTCGCCTTTTAAAAACCAAATTATTATTATCTCTATTTTTAAGGATCGATTTTCATTTAGGTCGTGGGCCTAAACTGAGATTCTTTTTTAAACTAAAAATAGTTTCAAAGTTTGGATGTTAAAACACCATCATGCTACATTTGCTGACCTAAATCCGAAAAATAGGACCGAGGAGGGGGATGTCTGTGGACTGAAATTTAAAGAAAAATATATAAATGAAACTATACGCACCTGTATTCCAGAAATTGCTATTATTTATTTATTTTGTGCGTTTTTTCTGCTTTGGTTGTTGGCAAAGGTACCGAATTTTTTTATGTATAGATCAGCAAAACTATTACTTTTTCTGTGCAAGTTATCGGACGAAAATGTATCGACACAAGCTAATTTGAATTTGATCATCAAATCAGCTGATTCTGTTCAAACTAGTAGAGCTTTGCAAAACGTAAACAAAGGCTAACGTCATAAATATACTTCGTGCTACCAATGGTTCAGAAGGTTAGGTTCCCACCTTTATAAAGCTTACCACTACATCGATAATCCTAAATACAACTTGTACAACTGACTACAACAGCATGTACAACATGTACACAAAACCGCAACATAATACACCAGTAATATCCACATGACACAACAACATAATATAAGAACACGTACAACGTACCACGTCAACATGTACCATGACTAAATCAGTATGTACAACAAACTACAACAACATGTACAACAGACTACAGCAACATGTACAACAGACTACAACAACATGTACAACAGACTACAACAACATGTACAACAGACTACAGCAGCATGTACAACAGACTACAACAACATATACAACAGACTACAACAACATGTACAACAGACTACAACAACATGTACAACAGACTACAGCAACATGTACAACAGACTACAACAACATGTACAACAGACTACAACAACATGTACAACAGACTACAACAACATGTACAACAGACTACAGCAGCATGTACAACAGACTACAACAACATATACAACAGACTACAACAACATGTACAACAGACTACAACAACATGTACAACAGACTACAACAACATGTACAACAGACTACAACAACATGTACAACAGACTACAACAACATGTACAACAGACTACAGCAACATGTACAACAGACTACAACAACATGTACAACAGACTACAACAACATGTACAACAGGCTACAGCAACATGTACAACAGACTACAACAACATGTACAACAGACTACAACAACATGTACAACAGACTACAACAACATGTACAACAGACTACAGCAACATGTACAACAGACTACAACAACATGTACAACAGACTACAACAACATGTACAACAGGCTACAGCAACATGTACAACAGACTACAACAGGCTACAGCAACATGTACAACAGACTACAACAGACTACAGCAACATGTACAACAGACTACAACAACATGTACAACAGACTACAACAGAATACAGCAACATGTACAACAGACTACAACAACATATACAACAGACTACAACATATATAACAGACTAAGATGGCTGAAACATTAGACTACATTTTATGTCAAGTGTGGAAGATACATAATGAAAACCAAATAGTTTCTCCTGAATCGTTGGCAGCAACTGATGCAATTTCTGCGAACGCGGCTATAATCTAACCTGCCTCCCGGACACACAATGTTTATCGTACAGGCCCACTAATCTATCTCCACTCTAGCATATTTACTGCTAGCAAGGGCAGATCACCCTCCCACTCCACGGGCTAAACCACAGCTTATCATTTTAAAATGCAAGCAACATTTTAATCGTGAGTAAATTAAATCTAAAAATATGGGTAAATGTGTTTGAAGAAATAATGTCAATGTTGATAGTTTTACCCAGAATTCTGCTGCTCGCTAACTTGTATACCAGGATATGAGTTCATCGGTCAGGTGTTTGTTTTATTTGTGCCAGTATTTTAGATATATTAATTCAGGGGATGGGGGGGGGGGGGGGGGGGGGGGGCGCTCCTTAAATGACGTCACACTTCTGTAGGAAAAGGGGGGGGGGGATTTTTGTGTAAGGAAGTGTGACGTTACATTTTGTTCAATTTGTAGTTGTTTTGTTTAGGAAAGGGAACTTAGCTGTATTTCCCATTTATTTATTTATTTTTCAATTTTTCACTATTATTTTTCCTTTCATATATTAACAATTAATAACTTATCAACAAAATACCTTCTAAGTTAGAGATGGCGTTTCCAAATATGAAACATCGAAACTTGTGGTTAGTATTGCGATTAGCTTAGCTATGGAGTACGGATGTGTGACTTTATTTTAGCAGCGTGGGGGGAAAAAGTAGGCAGAAAAATCAAGATGAAGATGTAATGAACGACCCTTAAGGCGTAAAGCTATATTTTATAAATTAAACAAAAATAAACTTATAGAACGATTAGGATAGTAAACAAATAACATCATGCATATAGGGCTGATTATTTTTTTGTATTTCAGTATTCTTTCTTTTTACTTTCTCGTATATACGAAGTATAGAGAAAGTCTTGTAATCGTGCAAAAAAAAAAAATCGAGATTTTTGCAAATCTCGACGTTTTGCATCTCACTGATACGGAAAAACATAATTTTGCAATCTTGTCCGTATGTCTGTGTGTGTGTGTGTGTGTCCGTGTGTAAACACGATAACTTGAGTACCGTTACAGCTAGGTTGATGAAATTTCATATATAAGTATTTAATCAAAATCGTAGATCCGTATCAACTTTTGAGCGATTTCCGATAACCGGAAGTGGTACTTTTCCTACTTTGAATTTTTCAAAAGCCTATAACTTGAGTACTATTTCAGATAGATAAATGAAATTTCATACGTAAGTAAAAGATCTAATTCTCTACCTTCTGTTAAATTTTGAGTAATTTCCGTTGACTGGAAGTAGTACTTTACGCTACTTCCGATTTCTCAAAGAACTAATGTAAATTTTAAAAGAATAATAATATTGCGCACTATTATGCGCTTTTTTATTTCGCGTTCACTTGGTGTGCAATTAATTTGTCTACGAGATTTTATTCTATTTTTAAAACTTTAAGTATTTAAAATGGATTAAAAATCATGTCTATAGCCCGAGTTCCCATCCCCTGTTATTTTATATAAGAATATTCGAGAAAGTTTAGGGGAGATCACTCCCAGTTTATTTTGTCTTCACTGTAAGATTTACAAATGGCAAACGGCCTTAATCCGTTGATTACTTCCCTTACACGTCCCACTACTCTGCACAATGAGCTATTTTTGTTTACATTTACAAAGAAAGTTTTGGAATTTCGATCAATGAACATTTTCCATTTATAGCTGCCTGCACGTATTGTACAGACAATATGCTTTGTGTTCTCATTAGCAGATTCTATGTTAGATAATTAAGCATAATTATACAATAATAGAGAAAAGATAAAAGGATTTAACAACTACGGCATAATTATATCGACTGATTTTTTTTTTCAAATGACGTAATTCTACATCTATTGATTTGACCGTCTGGCCGGAGAGGATTTTATATTTAATTTTAATTTACTTAAATATTTGAATACTAGCGTCTATATAAAAAATGGAAAATTAATTGGAATAATCCATGACAATGCCAAACATATAAGTTTTTTTTTCTGCAGCTTTCCCCTTCTAAAGTAAAATACTCGGATTTGTTTTTAACAACTGCACTACTTGTCTTCAGTGTTTCTTCCAGACTTTTTTCTCCGGGGGGGGGGGGGGGGGGAGAGGGGCACTTGTTATTTTCGGGGGGGGGGCGGTCTACATTTTCCGGGGGTCGGACACTAGTAAAAGTATATATTTACTATATAAATTTCATCTCGTTCGGGGGGGGGGGGGGCGGTAGACTTCCTTCAGTGGGGGAGGGGGGGGGCAGAGCGCCCCCCCCCCAACCCCTCGGAGGAAGAGATGCCTGGAAGAAACTGGTAGTCTTTCATGAAGAACTGACGTATATTCGTATAGAGCGCCGTCTATAAAATTGTTCATTTCGCTAGGCTTTCTCATCTCGAAAACTTGAGGTTTATTGGTCATCTAAGTAGTCCTACTTCAAGACCTCACCATCACTTTCTACACATGTCAAATATTACCACATCAACAGTTACCTCTATGATAGCCAACAGTGGGTATCTAAGGTAGCTATTAAAATTCTATCGCATTCTTAACTGTAGCCTAACCCCATACCTATACGCAATTTTAACACTAACTATGCTGCTATGGTAGAAGATGAAAAAAGCACTCAAACAATAATACACTGCTTGTTAAAGATTATACAAAAATAACAGGAATCAAACAATATGCACATATGGTGTAGGGGAAGAGCAGAATATTGGGAGAGCGGAGGTGGAGTGGTAAGCGCGAGGGGGCGGGGGAGATAAGAAAACATGATGAGGAATAAAAATAAAAGAAGAAAAAAAATCATTCAGTAATTTTTTTCTGCAAGGGCCCGCAATCTAAGATGCGCGATAGGATATGGGAAGAAGAAATGTGCCGCTCCGGCTAGGTTGCTTCCCTTACCTTGATGAGCATCATGGCATTAGTGGTGTGTTGACCATGGATTGAGCTTCTGACTAGAGAGGTTGTGATTCAAGAATGTGGCATAAGTGTGTGCAGGTGGGTATTAATTAATTAGCTTAGTAGTACAGGTGTGGAGAAGTGGTATTTAATTAGTTTAATGATACAGGTGTGAACAGGTGGTATTTAAATAGTTTAATGGTACATGTGGAGGCAGGTTGGTATTAATTAGCTTAGTGGTAAAGTTGTGTGCAGGTGGGCTTTAATTAATTAGCTTAGTGGTACAGGAGTGGACAGGTCGGTATTTAATTAGCTTAATTTAATGCTACAGGTTTGAAAAGTGATATTTGATTAGCTTAATGCTACTGGTGTGGGTAGGTTGGTAATTACTTAGCTTAGTTGTAGTTCCAAAGTACAAAGTTTGCTTTACAATTAGAAGCGGC